GTAGAAGCATCTCAGCACTGGCAGGGGTCTCCATGTGGTCTCTCCAGCTCAGGGCATTAGCATAGTTCCATGTCAGCTGCTATCTCCCAAGGTGTGAGCAGAGAGAGTGTATCTCCAGCCTCCAAGGAGGAAATACAGGAGTTCTCAGAATTCTCAGGAGAAAGCCATGTCCATACAGAGGCCTCATTGGCTATGACCTGATTGACAGACTACACTCCACCCCTTCACTCTGAATCCTCTCAAGTCCCAAATTGACACCAGATTATGTAACTACCACAGTTGGTGATTTGTTTTTCCATTTATTTAAGTAACTGTGTTGGGACTTGCATCAGAATCACACTGAACTTATTTCTTTCAGTTATATTGACATTTTCACTATATTTCTTCCTATTCCAATATGCAGATGATATAACCTTGCTGAAAGTGAGGAGGATTTGAAGTATTTGCTGATGAAGATCAAGGATTGAAGACTTCAGTATGGATTACAACTCAAGGTCAAGAAAATAAAATCCTCACAATTGGACAATAGGTAACATCCTGATAAATAGAAAAAAAGGTTGAAGTTGTCATGGATTTCATCTTGCTTGCATCCATAGTCAATGTTCATGGAAGCAGCAGTCAAGAGATCAAACAACATATTACATTAGGTAAATCTGCTGCACAAGATGTCTTTACAGTATTGAAAAGCAAGGATGTTACTTTGAGGACTAAGGTGCAACTGGTCCAACCCATGGTATTTTCCATTGCCTCATACGCATGTGAAAGTTGGACATTTAATAAAAAAGGCCAAAGAAAAAAGGATTCATGTGAATTACAGTGTTGGTGAAGAATATTGAAAGTAACATGGACTACCGTGTCTGTCTTGGAAGAAAGAGAGCTAGAATGCTCCTTAGAGGCAAAGATGGATAAACTATGTCTCACCTATATTGGACATTTTATCTGGAGAGACCAGTCCCTGAAGAAGGGATATCATTCTTGGTAAAGTGGAGAGGCAGCAAAATAGAGGAAGACCCTCAATGAGAGGGTCACAATGACAACAACAATGGGCTGAAACATAACAATTGTGAGGATGGTGCAGGACCAGGCAGTGGTTAGTTCTGCTGTACATAGGATCACTGAGTCAGATATCAACGGCACCTTACAACAAGTACTTCGATTCATGAGCATGAGACATTCTTCCATTTGTGTGAATCTATCACTTGGTTCCTTGTAAAAGGATTTTTAATTTTCTTTGTATCAGTCTTTGATCTCCGATTAGACTTATTCCTAAGTATGTTATATTTTGGATAGTTATTGTAAATGGTATTCTTTTAATTTCCTTTCCAGAGTCCTCTTCTTTAATATACAAGAATAATATAGATTTTTGTATTTTGATATTTTTTAAACATTTTTTTTATTTAATCATTTCTGTATTTTGGTCTTATAGCATGCTACATTGCCTAATTTTTCAATTAGCTTCAGCATCTCTTTTATTCAATCTTTGGAATTGTCTATATATATTAGATTATGTCATCTGCAAACAGAGGTATTTTTGTTTCTTTTGTGCCAATGTGGATGTCTTTAATACATT